AATGTGATAATTTTTTTTAGCTAGAACCATCAAAAAAACGACGTGCCGAAAAAGAAAAGACAAACGAGAAAGAGAGATATCGCTTTAATCGCTATGAACGAATGTATGTTATTAATTTATATGTAAATGGCGTTTCAATGAAAGGATCCTATTGTAAAATGCTAAACGTGGGCCGATCCAAATACACATAAGAGCATTGTCCAATATATTGGCGCACGCCAGCAAAACGCAGCAAACGACGGTTTATAATCGCCAAAAACCGACCAAGATGTCATTTTTGATCTGCGGTGTAGCGTCGATTTGGCACCCAAACGCGTCGTCCATATTGTTGTGAGTATATAATACCGCGTAATTTATAGAACGGCATAGAACTAGTATTTTCCACATATTTAGTATGCAGAAAGTAACTGCTTTATCGTTTTGTATGGGAAATGTCATCAAATACTAAATGCACAGTAAGCATTGAAATGAAATTGTACAAGAAATGTTCCAGTTTCCAGATTCATAAAGAAAATTTGAAAAATCTTTCCCGCTTCTTAAGTGTCAGACTTCTACGTAAGCTTGTCCTTGTATTATGCGAAACGACCGCGAAGTTAACAAATATATACCAATTGTACTAATTAATTTGCTCTAATAAAGAACATTTGCATTATAACGATATATATATATATATATACATATAGTACCCCATGCGGTCCATAGGATAATATGCCAGCTTCTATATATATTTTTCGTGGCACATAGCATTAGTAAGCTTATAGGTAGATTTTGCTATTCTTTGTATGTACAACAACATATTGAAAAGCGTTTCATAGTTATAGATATCTTTTTATGCTGCTATATTAGATGTTATTTTTAAAGGAGCTGAAGTTCGCAAAGGACTAAAAGTTAATTCTAGTTAAGCAATTTGAAAGCAACAATGTCCGCTAATAATTCCTTACTTCGACATAATACCTTACAATACAAAACATTTAGACATTTCCAAGTTATCAGACTTAGACTTCTCTCGATTACCACATTCACGACAAGCGCGCATAACCTGGGATCACATACTATACTTAGTAAGCCCACCTCCAACACCGCTCGCGCCGTCAAACCATAACGCGGACCCTCGCACATAGGACATCTTTCAGTGCACGCCTTGTGGGTTCTGCTATTGCGATCACTAATGATGTTAGCAGTGGCTAGCACATCTCATCTTTCCACGAATATTGGGCATATGAGCGTGCAGTATGTAAGCACCAACGACTCTTCCGTGAACACACAGACAGGTACCGTAACACTGCCGAATCATTTATGGGGTGCCCGTAAAATTGCTGCCAACGCTCCGCTCGTAATTCAGAAACATATGTGTCCAAAAGTAGCAACCCATCTTCCCTAAGGAAGTCCCAATGTAAATCGACCTCAAGCCTCTACCTCGAAAAAATGTCCTGGAGGGTTTCACCTAATCATCTTGATTCTCAGGGTTCAGTTGGCGGTAATCGACGGAACCCCATCGTTTTAGTCATTATCGAAGATTCTCGAGGTCGTCGCCTAGCAGAATTATGCGCTAATGGACACATCGAGTTTGCACGTACCCCAGGAAACCTTGGTACGGAAGGACATATCGAATGCAACGAGATCGCAAAGCTCGGGGATGAAGCTTTCCTACTGGGTCCTCGAACAATTGTGGTGGTCTCTTGTTCTACAATTGAGCACCTCTCTTCGATCAGACCGCAGCGTAGCAGCTATTTCAAAGGATTTACAATGTTTGAAAATGATCTGTTCGTATGGACCAATAATGTTGACCTATTTCATTTAGCGCCATGTCCTGGCGGTCATCGACAGCTGAAGTTAGTTGGTCAGACCGACATCGACTCACATAAAACTGGAGTGATAGTTCAAGTTCGGGTGCTTCGAAAAGATGTGCTGAAAAACTTGTTCGAGTTCGCGTATGGCGATCCGATTATCAATGCGATGCACCGAGTAAAATGCGATGCAACCACCGGCGAATTCATCTCGCGAGAAACAGTGTTCGAAGGAGCGCGAATCGATGCACTACATCCGGTTGGTGTGGACACTGAGAACTCTGAATATACGATTCATTGGGATCGAGGTGAAAGCAACTTATGGCTTGTGAAGCTTGCTATGGGAGAAGAAGTCGTCCGAATTGTGGTGTCTCAATACTGCTATGAATTTAAAACAGCATTTATAAGTAACTCGCACATCATTATCAAATTTAGAACTAGTCCAAAATTATATGTCCTAACTATGCTTAACGTCAAAACACTACTATCTATATCGATTCGGTTTGGGGAAGGTGAGGAAATTACCAATATCGTCCCCTTGCTAGCAAACATGTAATTGATGTGTGCATAACAGTGAAGTCCCAACGCGAACTATATGTAGATACGCATATAGTTACATATGTTAACAACACCAGTAAGCAATTGACTAACAAGGCACGTGCCTGTTTTAAACTATAAACGAAATTGAAGGATTTTATAAATATAGCTCTTAAATTTTGTAAAACATCTTTTACCTGCTGCTCTACTTGTGCGCGTGCATCAAATGCGTGATCAATTGTCTTTTAGTATTCAATGAGAGTTTTTGGTTTGAAATTTTTGTGAAACATTTTGAAATATTGATATTCACTTTAATAAACAAGTCAAACATGATTATTATATTAAAAATCCATATCAGCAGCTACATATCTCTGCATTGCAAGTAGTACAATTCCTTGACAACCTCTTTATGAGAGAAAAAGGCGAATACAAAAAACAAACAAGGAAAGATGGCTTTTATTACCATTAATGAACTATTGTACCAACTATTCATTTGTACAACTTTACTCATTAATAATCGACTAATTATTAGATCACATTGTACAAGGTTGTATTGGCTCCTATGTGTTCATATTTACATTTAGAAATGAGCCGTCCTAAGCGTTCGCGCCTATCCAGTAGGTCCTGTCGGCTATAATTTGTCGCTGTCAAACTAAAAATTGAGGAACATACCCGTATATGGAGCAAACGATCTTAGGCACATACACACTTCTCGTCAGAATATAACACTATTTGATTTGCTGAATTACAAAAAAAAAAAGGCAAGTTTGATTATTGCCTGACATCTGCGGAAAACGTCTTCAAATAATAAATACAAGGCGAATACGAAAATTAAATTGTACGATATTTCCAGGCTTGTTAATACCTTCTATACATGTTTATATATATAGATGTAGATGTTTTTCGCTTTTTGAACTTTACATTTCCATTTAATTATATTGAGATACCACCACTAAGTTAACTGATTTATGCAGCTTATCCCATATTTCCAAGTTTATTGGAATAAAAATTATAATGGTTTGCGTTCGCCTCATTAACGGTACTACAGTAAAACATTTTATAATAAACGCAAAACATAAGTGACACTGACTACGAAGGTTGAATTCTAACAAAAAATATTTTTTTGGAACTAACAGATGTCTCACTTTAAACTTTGTGAAATTCTGTTAGTCACGCTTTTTTAAGTGTTTCAGTGCCAATCAATAAAATACTGCAAATGTTTAGCGTTACCGTTTATGTCAAGCATGCTCTGTTTTCGGGTTAATCACAAAGGGAGGCTAGGCATGATACATTTGGATTTATTAAAATGGTCATAATGTAATATAAATACATTTACATTAATTTGTAGGAAATCGTTATCCCCGGTGCGGGAACCACATTTTTTTCTCAACTGTTTAACGCGGACCTTTCTAAAGTCCCTAAAACCGTTGCAAGGGATAAAATTGCAAAGAGTAGCTACGCATGGGAAACGCTCGGGTAATATCATGTACGCAACATATCTGCTTATTTTTTATTATTACTATACATCTTATATATATGTTTAATATATAAAATGTATATATATATAAGTTATATATTCGACAATAAAGATGTTCTCAATTAATGGAGAAAAAAATTATCTCCATCGTATTGTAGAAGTTGGTTATGCCACGCTTTGGATTAGATAGCAGATATTTTCTGTTATAATGGAATTTTGATTCGTAGCAGATTGCCAGACGTTGCAGCCTGGATTCGAACCTGGGCATAGGCACACTTCGTTTCACGCTGAGAGCGAAAATCGCTTCCTGAACAGAGTTCTAATGACGATACCGGACTTAAAACTCGAAACAGAAAGACTCGCAGACGTTCTAAGCCAGTGGCTACCCAGTGCTAACAGATCCCAAAACAATCGATGGCCGGTTTTTACTTAACGCTAGCAGATCCGATACTTTAAATTCACTTAAGTCTACGCTTACCTTTCGATTACCACATACACTATACTATAGTCCTAAGTTTTGATATGAAGGGTGATTAGCTCATAATCGAAGATTCCTTTCCGCCAGTCATATGGCATGGAGCTTTATTACAGTTTGGAGCACCTTATTATTGACGATCTGATTCACTTTTAATCACCAGCAATCAGCCGCTTTAAAGATAGTTTTATTTCGTTTCTCTTCTATAGGATTTCGCAGATAAGACACGATCGAGTGAATTCTTTTGTATCAATCCGCATGACACCCAAATATAGAGCTTTGTGACCAAATATAATCGTTCAGAACTGTGTGGTGCTAGATGTTTAGTTGCTTTACTACTTAATTAGCACAGCTACTCACTTGTCGGCACGCTGAGCTCTATAGTTAGTCGATGACTACAAGAAGCATCTCTCAGGACGAAATTTTGAAAAAAAAACGACAAAATCATCATTGGGCCGTTTCTTTCGATATCTACGTTATTTTGAACAACTTTATTTATATATATACATGCATATATATAGAGAGAGAAAGAGAGAGAATATTGTAGAGGTACACGGGTCAGAAATTTAGAGGGATCTGGGTTACTAGACTGTTTTCTTTGGTTAAATTTTAAACGGTCGGGTTATATGCGAATTTTTATCGAGCTATTACTAACCAATAAAGAAGCGTAACCATTTCGATTATTAACCACGATTCCTTATATTCTAAAATTACGTTTTGACGTAGCAGACTGAAATCTAGTTACGTTTGTCAAAAATCCCTACGTGAAATCATATCACGCGGTCGCTCTGGGCGTCTGTCGTTCAGGGTAAGACGGGGCTGTAGTTTTACACTCGCGGTGCCATATATGTTTGTTATCAGCAACGCGTAGAAGAAATTTTGACAGCATTATTTATATTCATGCAATGGAAAATTCCGGTAAAAGGAATCGCGAATATATGCGCCACACAGCGGATAATTATGATTATAGATCAGAATTCATAATTGATTGGTATATTGGTAATAGGACCATCTTTCTACGCGTTTTAGTCCACTCAAGACGCCCTTGAGGAGCGACATGCACGTCCCTGCTGTTCCCATTCTCTTATCGAACAAAAATCAAGCCGTCGATTTACTAGCGTTTTTCAACAGTGTCTATGCAGTGATGCCTCATGTGGACCTATGCTAGATGAATAGACCTGTCTAACTCGACAGTAAATTATGAAAAGAAAAGACTGGCTTCTAGCCATAATGAGCTTATTCTAGAATAGAAAGCATTTTTATTTTAACTTCGTTGGATAATTGACTTCTGCTTACGAAATCATTAGTGACCCATATAGACCCACTTTGTGAGGCTATCATTATCTTAAGAACGCTCTCATCTAAGTGCAATAGAGTGAACGAAAAAGTTCAGTCATCCTACTTTATTGGATCCGCTTATTGATGCACCCAAAGTGGCCACAGAGGAAAAATGTTTACTGTTTTTAACACCATCAAACAGAGCATCGATTAGCTTGAACTTCGATCGGATCTACGTGCTATACTACGATTGCGCTACGTCATTTAACGGTGATAACATTCAGTATTATTGACACAACTTTAAGTGAGAAGTACGTTACCAAATAAGCCTTACTTGTTTCAAAGACGGGGAGCTGCCTTTTTTGTAACTGAAAAGAATGTCTGAATATGACAGTTCATAAGAGCGGTAAAATCAAATCGATTATGTTTTTTTCACGTCAGCAATGATATTTAAGTCTTTAATGTGTTTCCTGTTACATTGTCATGATAGCCACGATGTCAAAAGAAAGTAGAAACACCTCTCGCGAGCCATAGATTTCAAGCTCGTACTGAAGAGCGCACCATGATACAAAGCAGACCTTTCTTTGATCACTATGACTAAAGTGTGTTGGCTCGAAATGCAACGTGTTATAGAATCAAATTCCGTAGTCATATGAGTCCTCAAGGTGTTCTAGAAACAGCCCTTCTATTGACCAGGATACCGCTTTGTAGGTAAATATGGAAATCACTTCTTAACAATTCTGGGCTGCCTAAAAACGCGAATGTATTAGATTTGTACTAAACCCAAAATTGTCAACGAGCTTCGTTAGCCTAATGAACAACAGCTATATATATATATATATATATATATATATATATAAAACAGAGGAGGGGTGGTTCATGCTTTTAATGACGTTTGCAGGGAAGTCATAACAATCCCCAAAGAAATTAAAACTTCGTTTTGATTCAAGAGTAAGCATTTGTGCAAGAATTTGGTTTAGCAACTAATCTTATATGACCCAATTTCCTGCAGTGGCCAGGTGACCTCTTAGTTAATACGCCGCTTACCGTGGGTGATCATTTCGGTAGCTATGTATCGCTTCACACACTGCCCATCGGGTTTATATCTCAAAATATTTAAGACAGGAAGGTAAATTACGGGTTGTAAATATTCTCTAGAAATAAAAGTCGCAAAATTATTTCCTCAAATTGGTCGATATCTTTAGGTGGCTCAAGCGTATTGAGGCGGGAATTTCTGACAAGCTTATCCAGCTCGTTGGTTCGGTTTTGTTGAAAAACCCCAGTGCGATAGAGGACGGCGTGGCAAAATTACACCCCCGGAAACGGTGACATAGATGGCTCAGGGCGACAGCCTCAGCTCCGTACTTAATTTCATTCCTCCTAAACGATTTCCCAAGCAGTAAAATCGGTGAGTCCGAATCTGTGAAAGCAAATGTTATATTGTATGCCGATGATCTCTTAATTTACGAAGTATGACGTTTCGAAATTCGCCAGACATAGGCCCGTTTTCAGTTGCACATAAGAGACGTTGGTCTAGAAATCAACGTTGACAAAGCTAAGGCTATGAAGTTTAGAAAAGTAGAGTTACTAGTAGAAAATAACACTGCAACTGTTCACTCCTGAGTCACATTAGAGTCTATTTAGGTGCTATATAGGTCTGTTTCTTCCTTGTTGCATGTAACAAAACGTATTGGATAAACACTGGTAGCGAATGCTCTCAAAGAAAGGCCGTCACCCCTCGTTCTGAATACGACAAAGCATTGGGCTTATATTCTTCTTGCCATAACCGCTATGTGTATTTGCTAGCGGATACACTATTTATTGATGACCTCTAATGTCAGCTATCTGGAACGAACGGCCGCAATTCCTTGATACCGGTACTGTACTGGACAAAAGATTGTGGAAGCCATCTAGCAGGTAGGGGATTACCTTCTTTAAATAACGTGGCCCAGACAAAAAGAACGTCATTGTGGCGTTATGTACTATGCACTTCATTTTATTTTTAATTCTATTGCTATTTTAAATTTATAAAACATTTTATGTTTATATTGCTTGTATACATGACACCTGACAAAGATGAACATAAATGATGAAACAGATACAGCTGTTTCAACTGTATCTGTTTGTAGACAAGATAAAGCAAGAAGCTAAAAGTACTTACACATATTAGGGCGTTTAGTATTAAATGCGATATGATGAACAATATTTTTCCAACTCTTTTTTCATAAATATAATTAGATTATTATTTGTTGAAGTATGGACCTTTACTACATACGACTATTTGTCACTTGGCCATTTGGGATAACGATTTATTTAACCGTTACAGGAGTTTGTACGCTCTCGACAAAAAAATTCCGACATCATGAAGTTCGATCACGTTCCTATTAAGAAGTCACCAAGATATCAATGGTATTCTGTAGCAGAAGGATAATTCCGGTTATTAAATCCGGTATTTTTGGTGTTTTGATCTATACGATGTAAGGTTTAATATAATAAAAGTGCATTATATCTGTTGAATAAGCTTCGTTTCATTTACAGTCTTTTTTCCATTGCTAACAGTGCACTCTAGCCGTAGTCGACAAATCAGGAACTCATAAAGCTGCAGGATAGTACCCGCACTAGACGACTACACAGACAGCAAAAGTTTGTGTTGTTACACATGTGCTTCATGGCGATATTCCGCTCACTGTTATGACTCGGAGCAAAGGAAAATGCCTCTACTACCTCACTTTAGGTCCCCGTTCATATTGCGTGACACTAATTTGTCCAATTGATTTACTATATTCATTTGAAAGGAATCAAGTACGATAACGCTAGATACATCGAATGTCAGTGCTACGACCGGCACGCCTCGACCGACTTGTGTCGGCCTCCACCACAGGTTTCAGCACTTCGGTACGCGTGACATAGGATCTTTTAAAAGACCCATCTTTTGCTGAAACTTTTAAAACCAGCAGCTTATGGTACTTAGTAGTAGGTCCAGCACCGAATATGAGGTTCATACGGCGGACTGCCTCTTCCGCTGTACTTTTGAGATTATTCTCGACAACTCGGTGTTCAAATTCTCCGTGGCAAACTGCAATTCATTTGTTGGAAGTTGGACCGACGATATTCGAGCAGACGGTTGTTTTGAAATACGAAATTAATGTTTTTCGCATTTTATATTAAATTCGCTAGGCTAAGGCGCTAAAATACATTGAAAATTCCAAAAAAGCATCGCTTTGTCAAATATATTCTTTTATTCTATGTACCTCTATAAAAAATTTAACCACACATTTTTTCGGCTATTGTTATTCATATTTTGAACGGGCTGAAAATAATGTTCATGCAAGCATTTTTATTAATTAACAAATAGTCGAGCGAAATGTATTTCTATAGCTAGTCTATAGTCTATAGTCCAACTTTCTAGTTTTTTTCAAACATTGCTCTAACATGTACACCACAAGTAATGCCCCAAAATACAATACTATTTTTTCTTACGGGTCGATCGTCTTAAGTAATTGTATTCCATTGATCCTTAGCACCATGTATTTATCTCGAAAGAAGTATGAACGATGAAGACGAGTCCGTTGAATGTGCAAAAACCTCCTGTACTCGTAATTCAACGTTTTCTCTACCACGGTCGCCAGCACCCGAACCTGTAAAAAAAATAGAAGAAACGAACGAGCAGAAACTGACGGATATGAGAAAAACAATGCTAAAATTTACGTCAAAAACTCATGTATGATCATATTCATTCTATGTGGTTCTACTAAAGCAGATTATGTACTGTCACATTGAAATGGATTTATTATAATCCTAAAATACTTTTCATAGCTTGCGTAAAGGAACAGCTAGAAATGTTATGAAATTCGTCATGTTCTAATGTATATTTACTGTACAAATTTTTACCGAAGAAGAAAGGTGTTTAACTCACCATCGTTTTGTCAATGAGTGGCCTGCCAATAATGGAGAAGTCGGTGCCACCAACCAGCAGTATTTTCTCTAGCGAAATAGTTTCGCCAATTTCGACCGGCAAATGGGCTTGTATAGCGATCATATCTTCAGCTGTTACCTTCAACAGTTGACGATGTGCGTCTGATCAGAAGTCTACATGTAACATGAATCCTCAAGCACATAGTATACGAAAAAATCAATCCCACTTTCGCAATTCCTAGTGAATGCTGCTACGAAAGCTCTCTGAGATCTTTCTACTTTGTGTCGACTTCGGCAAATAAAAAAGGATAAGCTTTTCCACTAAGGTTTCTATATCAACCCGCAACGATGCCAAAAGGAAATATGTCTGCATACCTTGAATTGTTTACCATTAATAAAGACTACCGCAAATAATCTACTGTACGTGTCTTCAGTTATCTGCCGATTGATCGCGCCAATTACGTCGTCGACAATACGATAGTCTCGCATTTCATCCACAATTTCACCCCGATGCACTGGACCCGCCGTGGCAACACCAGCCTGTGAGCAGCCGAGATCCAAACGTAAATCTGACGTCAAAATTAACTGTATATACATTTCAGCTACTCACAAAAATTTGTCAATTTAAATATCCAATAATTATTGCACATATGAATAATGTCCACTACATATCATTACCGAGGATGCGTAATCTATGTAAACGTAAGGCTTTCGGAACTTCCATTAAAATTGAGTAGAGATTACTATCATACTACCATACACACCTTGGAAGTGATGGGGACTCTGTTTCTAAAACCATTCCTGCCAATGACGTTGAGGCCGGTGGCAGTTGATGATAGGACACGCCTGAACATGTTGACACTGGTTAATAATTAATGCTGAAATTTGGGGGAATTTATCGTCGAAAACAATCGAGGTTGTCTTCAGCTAATAGTAGGTCTGCAAATATATGCAAAAAAGAAAAACGATTTTTGCCGTTGCTTTGTAATTTGTCACGAATACACCAAGTAAGCAGAGGACAATTCGTAGTCATTCGATAAATCAGGCCTAAAAGCCAAATAAAGCAGAAAACTCGTTTTAATATATATAGTTCCTGCCACGCAACGTACTACTATCTCTAAGGTGACAGTTTTACTGTTACTAAAGGCGTACTAACTAAACACTTTTTTCATTGTTGTTCTTTAAGAAAAACAAGTCCTTGAAACATTGGCAAAAGCTGAATGTTGGCCTTTTTAATCCAAGCAAATGAGCACTAAAATGTATGGACTCTAACAGTATGCAATATGGCCAGTTATTCGTTTCATACGAGTCTTAAAAAATAGGTTGAAATAACAGTAAATAAATTAAGTGCTACCACAAAGATGTGGATATGACTTCAGGAGAAAATTACTAAATGCAGCTGAAGTGTTAAGCACTGCAGGCCGACTTTTACTCCATTGCACATTACAGTAACGCTGTCTACCGCTCATAAAAACTATAAAAGAGCCAGCGTCTATCAAGTAATATATCAATAAAATCCATTCAAGTCTGTAAATTAAATAAACAAGCCTAGGTATTTTCTTATGAATTTAATGTAAATCTAAATCCAGACTCGGCATGTTATAACTTACTGTTGCCTTTTCAAAGTTTCGGCGAACTTTGAGCTAAGCATTTCCTATAACAAAAGTTTCACAACAAAGTTTGCCGACATTCCACAAATATCCCAATCTCTCTATCTGCCGATGTATATTCAAGCGATTTATTACATCACTGAGCAACATGATCCATTTATCTTAACGTCGAAACAGCGAATCAAAAAATATGATTAATATGAAACTCACAGTTCTAGCGAAAACTGATCCTTATTCCTCGAAGTACTCAATTTATATCTTTCTACGACAATTGCAAATCCTTAGGAATGCCCAAGAAAGAAATAATGCACACTGTATTGCCATTGAACAGCTCCATGTTCTTCGCTGCGCGGTACCGATGAGGATACTTTTAATATGTAAGACATGTGTGGTACCTCACAGTATCACACGTTATCCCTGCGCACACAGTAATTAGCTAATATCTCCGACTTATAACGCGAAATCTGCATATGTTTACTTGGCAAACTTTCAAATTAACTTACAGTGACTTTACTGTCTTTGAATATAAAGCTAGTTACGTTCATTTCCGTGTGGCACGGGTCATGCGAGGTTGTGGCACCCTACCCTTGACTGCAAAATAGTGGGTTCTAAATTCGAACACTTGTTGTGCATGCAAATAGAAATTTCTTTACCAGCTCCTTTCGTTACTTTCTAGACTCACGTTCTATTCGGAAGTTCCAACGGCATCAGGATAAACTTATAGAAAGGTGGGCAGTACAAGAGCGTATGCTTAGATTACGCGTAGAACGACCTACTGATGGCTAATATGTGACAATCGGGACCATACCTAGGAACGCATGGTAGTCCCGGTTTGAATCCAGGCGTAGTCGTACTTTGTTTTGTGGTGCGAACAAGTCGTCTGATGTAATTCCTAATGGCGGTTTCGGAAGTAAAACTGAAAAAAATAGCCTGAAGTACCCTAGAAGTCTATAAATTCATCTAAATACTTGTTTCTATCACGTTTGTGTAGAGCTTGATTGGACATCGTAACAAGGTTTGTTAGTGTGTAGTGGCCAGGGTGACTACTTTTCCTACCCATCAAGCTTGTTCACTTTGTTTAAATGCCTTATCTGATGTTAGCGTCCTCTGTAAAATTGTTCGTCTTGCCTCCGAAAGCTATTGATGCTTGGCCGTTGAAAATCGACAAGTTAGTTGCTGGATTGTTTGCTAATAATCATTGTTATTACTAAATGGCCAGGCTTTCACGATGTCTCTTGGTGGTAATCAAGGTATTATCGGACCTCTGGGTAGTGATGTACCTTCTATTATGAAAACACACTGTCAACATCTACAAATTAATGGTGACCACATAAGTGTTGCCATTACACCATTTTCCAATCGTTTCTTCGTCATCGTGTCCTCCTACGGCAAAATCGGAAACCTTCTCGATATATCAAGGGTGAGTTGGCATTTGTGAATCTTTCTTTTTGGCGATATAATACATTTTAAACGAGTGGCCACAAAATTTCCGGTTTATTTTACACACTCCGAGAAACAAGTTTTTCCATAATTTCAGATAGTAAGATGTGTATATGTTGTAAGCTACTGTGTGCAAAGTATTTGTGGGGGCGAATTGAAACGTACCAGCAACAATTCCCTAACAAGCTTGGTGCCTGTTTTTTTAAGGAATCAGTCCCATATGAAGCGTCATTTGGAGTTTCTGCTGGACGTGCCGATAACGACGACGTAATTTCAGTGAACCGACTTCTAGGGGCGGAAGATGAAGGTGTCGAAACGGCGGGTCGCTACCTAGCTGAGAAGATTATGGTGAAAAGTAATGGAAGAGTTAATTCAGTCCTTCTTGGAATTAGTCTCACAAACTATGAGAAAGTTATTGTTAAGGAACTCACCGAGAAGATCTTAGCTATGCTGTGAATTCGCCGTTAAGAATTAAAGTCGTATGTGTATTTATGTTAACAGTAATAAATGGTTTTTTGTAACAAAAATGTTTATTACGATCAGGTCATTTTAGGTTATCTTTAGAACAGCATTGGCTAGAGTTATAAAAAGCGTTTTATCCAAGCGGGTGCAAACGAACGCTGTTTAGTAACGCAGAAATAGTAATTCATGCGAAAAGAGAAAACAAGGATAAGGTAACGCTTAGAATAGTGCGGATTAACAGTGACTTTACAATAAGACTGCTTTTTGCCAGCTATATTTTTTCTTTAGATCTGCTTCTCACTTAACTCTTAACACATTTTTGCCTCTGATTCTATGTATACATTGTCACAGCCTGTGCCTTGCTTTAAGCAAATATTAATATGGCCAGTGTACTGCACTCAAGACCTTTGATCACCCATTACTGAAAAATCAGCTTAAATATTTTTTGGACTTATTCAGCAATATACGACAACAAGCAGACATTTGTTTATAGATTGCGCCTTCTTGAGACTTAGCATTTAAGGCTGCGTTTACTTTAGCAGTTTGATTCTCAACACCCTATGCTTTTTAAAATGTGCATTTTTGCGCATGTCTCTTTCAATTGTTGGAGACTAAGCAGCAGCAAACTGATTACAGTGCTTACGTATGTGAGTAGCGAACACGTCTGGAATGTGGAATTTCATCTATATATGATGCAGGAACTTTGTAATGTAAAAAGGGTAACGAAGGATATAATAGTTATATATACTGTCGGCAGACGAGAAATAGTATGTGGAAGAAAAAAACAGTTGCTTTTCACTTAAATAATGTCCATCCCATTTTAATCCTTTTCTTTAGGTGAAACCAAGCTTCTTTAAGCCATTTCGCAGATGACAATGGGTCCACCCAGCCAAGAAAAAGCTGATTCACATTCGGCGGCTTTGGCTTCTGCCAAACTTTCGGATCAAACGTCAACATCAAATTGTCAGCGCAGGTCGCAGCGCAGATCGACAGCTGTCTATGAGTGCATTTTTTGCTCGATCACTTTCACAAACCGAAACGAACTCGAAACTCACCTTACGTCTCACGTGGATTGCTCCCCTGAGACGGAATCCGAAAAGGTTCAAGATGATGCAGTACGACAGGAGGCACTCTCTTGTCCAGTCTGTAATGATTTTACAACATGGAGGCAGGACGAACTGCAGCAACACTTCGATAATCATATAATGGGTACGTAACAAAAACATTGGATTATTGGGCTGCAATTCACAGAATGTTATTGGTTTTTTTTCTCTATGGCAGAATATTTCATGCACAATATTACTGTAGCAAAGAATTACTTATAGGTTCTTTACGTTTGTATATTCATTATAACAATTGACGAATGTTTTTAGACGTTCTACTATAAATAGGTGTCTGCAATTAATTCAACTCTTCCTTATAAGGAATAAACATTTGTTTCATAATAATTGGTTAAATGCTGTCTCTTTTTTTCACAAATCGCAGGCTACAAATGTGTGTTTTGCGATTTTACGACTCTGAGGAAAACTCGTCTACGCAGCCACTTACCTCAACACGCGTTCGAAAGGAACTTCAAGTGTGAACTATGCGGAATGGGCTTTTATAAAAATGACCTACTTAGTAGACATAAAAAAACGCATGGACCAAAGAACTTTGCGTGTACACAATGCGATCACACAAGTAGGTGTCTTACTACACTCGGAAAAATAATTGTTTTTGCCTTGTTTTATATTAACTCATTGAAGCTCTCTCCTGAGCGAAAGCTGTACATTGAAATATCGTTAGTCTAAGAAATTTTTAGATTTAAACTGTATTACACTACTTGCAGAATGAATGAGCAAAACAAACTATATGGCGACTAGAGGAGTACGAATTAATTTCTCCGTCTTTCGTTTTCCACTGTCTGTTTTATTGTGGTCTTTACTATGCTTGATCCTGATATCCTTCCAATGAGAACAGCGTATTCCCAACGTATGCTCAACGATCATCGTATACTCAAACATTCATCGGATAAAGTCCACAAATGCAAGGAGTGTGGTCAACATTTTAGACATTCGGCAGATCTCAGCATTCACCGAAGAAGGGTTAGTCATAAAATACCACACAAAAAAGTTTGTCCAATACTGGAATGCGAAGAAGTGTGAAGCCGTCAGAAATAAGGCAATGTACAAGGCAATAATAGGACGGATTCTTTTTTCAGATCCACAACTTGCAAAACACAAAGTTTGGCAAGAGCGACATCAAGCGTTGTCCTGATTGCACGTTTGAGACTAAACGAAGACCCGAGTTTATTTTGCATCGCTACGAGGTAGTAAAGAGATGTAAAGCTCAGCAACTAATAGATAAAGACAAAAGTTTGGATTAATTTGAGAAGTTTTCTAAAGGCAGTTAATCATTCTTATAAATGCCAGTTAGCGAAGCGCTAATATTACACAAAGGCATCACATTCATTGCTTTGTCGTCTCTTATTGCAGGTTCACGAGTCGTTTCCTATGATACGTTCGGATTCGATGGAACTGCAGTGCGCGATGGAAGGTTGTACGTTTTCTATTGACTCCGAACTAAAGTTCGTCACACATATTCAAGCAAAACATAGAGCTGCAACAACGTCGAGCAGTGAAAAAGATCAACAACAGTGCTTGGTAAGTTTTGGAAACTTTTTGAGTTTCTGTACCGATGGACTCCGATATTCCCATCAGATGTAAAGAAAGTGATGCATTTTGGACCATTTATTATGTTACTCAAATTTTGAATGTTTTTACCGACGAGTGCTATGATAGCTACATTTTGTACGTGCATTGCAGTCATGTCGGCTGTGCAGAAAGAAGGAGACCTGTACACACACGAGCAGTGGACGACCTCGCGGCTCAAAATCAGCGAAGAAGAAGAAACTGAATACCACTGCTGGCACCAGCAATAACAATAAAAATACTAGTGACTGTAACACCGATGTCGCTATAGTTGGCTGGGATTCAGCTCCAATCAGTTGTAACAAGGACAAAGCCAAGGAAACTGCTGAAGACAGCATAAAGGATTTCCCTACTTCCCAGAAAGAAGCGGACCCGAGGCCCGGTTCTGCCCAACAGCATACACAGCGACAACCAGTCGAACAGGTCGGCATTATGCCAATTTCACCTTACGTCGTTCCAGAATCGACAGGAAGCACCGAATTATCTTAAAACTGCTTAAAAGTAGTGGTTTACGAATCCTTTTACGCAAAATTTTTGGATGAAATTAAGTGCATCAAATTTCGTATGGTGCAATTTTTAAACGCTCGCTGGTTTGAATCTATCAACGCGCATCTGTGCACAGCATGTGTCAATAGCGTACGATATTTAAAAAGATAGGATAGATCAATAAGATTATTATAACAGAACGCGTTTTGTACCTGAAACTTGCTCGATAATACCTATTATTAATAAATATCGTAGTATAAAAAACATATTGAAGAATCATCACAATCAAAAGGCCAATCAATATTTCGTATTCTTGCAGGAAATCGCTTCACTTGTGAATGACTGCCTTTAGCAGGCAACAGGTAATGCTAATTCAAAAGACAAACAATCTACTATAACAATTATGTCCAGGTTCTCATTAATTCCTATGCCGCGACGACAACTACAGTCACTTCTGTGTGGTTAATATTACTCACATCGTTGGTCTGTGTGTAGTAGATGCTAGATTCAGATGTGCCGCGGCAGATGATCAAATCTGTTATAGTTCTTGTCAAAAGAAGCTTACTAGATCAGATATTTTGCACAGGTCCAAAAGATAACTCAACCAGTGCTCTCAGGCCTGAATGTCTAGCTCAATTAATGGCCTTATGGCTGTATTTTGGGTTTTGCGCAGTATTTACGACCGATGCAAGACGGTCTAAGCACCTGTTAGAGTGTCTTGAGAGTGTTACATTAAAATACACGAGACTTTTATTGTAAGAAACAAGCGGTACGTTGCATCCACCAGATGATTAAAATAACTATGGTAAATTCACTATGCGGAGCAAAAGATGTCTGTAAACGTCAATATCGTGTTGTTTAATTCTTAACTTTTACTAACTAAAGCAAACCGAATGTACATCTTTCGTCATACGCACAATATCCTGAAAATAAATATTGTTTGTTAGCGCCTTTGTAAATACTTTTTCGTGCATTGAGATGACAAGAAGATTAGGTTAGCTTAGAACCATATTCACTTGATCTTAGAGTCCACTGATATACATGCCTCTTTATATTGTAATACATAAAATTTGTCACGAATACAAAAGTATCAATCATCAAAGATGTCGATTTTAGAGCGATTAATATGGCAAATACAATGCTCTTTTGTATGATGTAGTCCTGGAATATATTAACCTAATCAAAACAATACATTTTGCAATTGGATTGTAACTACTTTAATTACGTGCTTATTTGAGTAAAAATTCTTAAACTGTTGTAGGTGATAATGTCATGCTATTTATTTACATCGTTATTATACAGCGGGTATCCAGCTAGGATTCAAATAATAGCAAATACGCAATTTTCCCGCGCCAATTTTCCCTAAAGATATTACCGGCATTAGGAATGAGGTCATTAGCAAGTAAAATGTGAAGAAAACTTACGATTACAGTTTTGTGTATGGACAATGTCCATATATTCTCATCCAGTTCTTAACACTATATATCGTTTGCCGAATGTCTCATATTAATGATTACTGATGAAGATCTTATTACTCAATTATCCGTTTCCAATCTAAAAGTCCATTATTTTATATGTAGCGGGCAACCTATATTCAGTTTACAAGAATCTATCAGTTACCGTATATATACGAAGACCATTAGCGGAAAATCCGAGTGTGAGTTAGCACTCACATTTCTAGCAGCACCAGACTGCTTTATAGCTTTTCTCGCCATCACCTCGTCCAATAATGTTTTTTTGCATGCATAGGGTAAGGTATTTTAAGGAGTAAGTTTTCTTATATCTAAAATGATATAGATATAGAAGTAACCCCGCGTTCGTCGTTTGCGATACAGCATTTCTCTTACTTTTAATCCCCCTTTCCTTCTTGAGAAAACATAATATTATGTATTTTAGGAAAACTGCGCAATCTGTGATGCGTTAGTGTACCTCCAAGAAAAAAACATTAACCATATTGGGGCTGTGCATTTCTGAACTTAATTTGAGAAATATAAAAATAAAACTGTAATCTCAGAAATGTATGGATCCAGCTTGAATTGGTTTAACGAGGGCGGCGTTTGAGTACGAAATAGAGTTCCCAGCGTGGACAAATCCGCTCTCGGTATCGACCTGCTGGCCACTGCCGTTTACAGTAACAATACATTTCCATTGTTGGGCGTAATTCGCTTTCCATAGACGAACGTAGCCGTCATTGCCCGATGAGGCGAGAACTGTGCCAAAAATGTTCCAGGAAAGACGCCACACAGCATTCTGGTGCTCGCTAAATTCGCCGATAAGCCTAAAAAAACATCAACAGGAAAAAGCACAATGGCACGATCAATTTGTAGACCTCCAACGTATACACTATACGTATAATAAGTGGGAGTTATAGGTACATTATCAATTTACATATGATGTACATAAACTCTTTCGTGGGTGCCATGGGTGAATTCTTTGTAGGTAACTGCTTGATTTCTCTCTTTGCACTTGGAAATCTTGCAATAGTAATATACTATATTAATATTGCAGCAAACCGATCTCCTCTAAAAAAATAAAATTTTTCGCCGATCGATCGCATATGTTCGTGTACGAAAGTTACGTAAAATCAGGTCGATAGATATGAAAAGCTATGACCTTCATATAACTCAAATTTGGTTTACAATAATGAGGATTATTCACAAACAATTATTTATATCGCAACCACTATGTCTACACGCATCCTTACAGCGATTGGCGGTAAAATAAAACAATTTAATAGTAGATCTTAGGAGATGCCCTTCCCACTCACTTATTATAAAGTCTCTGAACTAAATTAGCATCGCTATGTCCCTTCAGCACATGAATATTACAAATTCATCGGTTTATTTTCTTTTATTTCGTATATTACAATATTATAACCGCAGTACAACTGTGTTAAACAAATTCTAAAAAATATACATGTTGGGTTCACGTTGGGAAACGATTCAAAGAGAATGCTGATTTACCGAAAGTGTGTAATACATGCAATAAATGCTTTAACACTATGCACTTCGTCAACGATTTACTCACCGAGTCTCAAGGGTAGGACTCTTATTTGGATTTCTTGTCAATGCAATCAGTTTAACGTCATTTGAGGCAACAGCAATAAGATCAAAGCTGCGCCCCATGTTCGGAGCAAACGCCATGTCATGAACAGGATCGGTGATACAGACCGACTCAAGACGTGTCCATGTTCGTGAGGTTTCACTATAGTCGTACAGATGCACCTAGGAACAAAGATAGACGTAAGAAACGAAGAAATAGCTTGGATTTTTTAAAGATATTATAATAATACTTCAATATATAGATAAAATGACTGTCCAACGAATTCGGTTTTTGTCGAGCTGTAACAGCATTTCTTAAGCTCACGAAAAGGTATTTTTTAAGAGAACAATTTGAACCACTTCGATCTTGAAATGTTTCATTTGTGAAAACGATGTATTAAAGAATAAAGAATGTTAATATTAATACCTTGGGGGCTGTGGGATTGCTGGTGTCGTCGCTGCCGACAGCGATGAGAGCCGGTGTGGCATTTGAATGCCACGTCAAACAACTTAGTGGCATTTTACAATCGATATCTCCCTGGAGAGGCCATGTCGAAAGGTTCATCACGTCCGGAGCCTCATAAACCCGAACACGGCCTGTGTAATTGTTTTTGTAGGTGGTTAAAAAAGCTATATATGATTTTTATGCAAATTAAAAATTCAAAAATAAAATTTGTTTTTGTAAAAAATTAGCAGCACCTCGCCTCTAGATCAATTTTTCCAGCATATTACACATAATTCGATTGCCGCGGATTCGTTAAAATGATACTGCATCTTCCCTAAATTTATATCTAACAAGAGAAAGACAGATTTCTCTACGCAGACTGATCGATAAATAATTATAATGTATGTAGTTGAAAAAACATTAAAGATATCAGCATTACTTACAGTCTTCAGAACATGTAGCTATCTGTAATCCAAGATGTTTTGGCGCAAATTTTATGTCTTTTAATGTGGCTTGAGCACAGACTATTGAGGCTTTACGAAGCCATTTGCCAAGTACTGGACATTCTTCCCAAATGGCAGCTGTTCGATCGTAGGAACACGTTGCAATAACCTACAGTGCTCAGTTGGACACAAAGACATGATAGAAAATACGTTTAATACAAAGACGGTCAGCTGGTAGGAAACAGCCTTAAAATGACGTCAACGAAAGACAACTAAATGTATTTTCATAAGTCTTTCATTATAGAAATTTTATACATGTATAAGGATTATACTACATCAATACAAACACCAATTAGATAGGCTCTCTTTGAGGCAATTATTCGTCTTACCCAGTTTTTTGCCACTCTTTCACATCTGGTCCTATCTCTAAAATTGGTGATACGAACATTTGTTGAATTGCTATAGTACATTTTGATTTTTAAACACCTCCATCGAAATCTATCAACAAAACGGCGGATGGCTGATCTTACTGGGCCATTCTCATATTCCAACTCACATAGGTCTTTCTACAGGCCATAACAATAGGCCAAACATGAAAGCCAAGGGAGTCCAACTTATTATCGTTACATTCAAGGAAACATAGATATACTTTTTATTTATTTATATTACAAGAAAAATAATGTCCGTATAAATGAATGGTGACCAGGACTGTGGCTCGTACATCAGATGTAAAAAGAAATATTGCAAACCCTATTGTGGCCTTGACTTGAATGTTTTCCTTACGGTTGGGCCCAATCAAAGAATCGTTATACCCTATTATTATTGTGGTTGTTTAAGCATTTTGTTCTTTCAGTACTTTAAAATAATACAATATTAGTTGATCAGTACTGCAATACTGCTTTGCATTCTCAAGTTAAAATAATGCATGCCTAATTATTAGTTACTACTCCTAGTTCTCACTAACCTGTCCGAATTCAGGGTGAGCCCATGTAACTTTCCAAACACTACCCGAATGTGTTTTAAAGTTACCAGTACACTTCCAGTCTCCATCTGGCTGTAGGTCAAAGATTTTTACATTCTGATCCGACGAACAAGTCGCGAGGCGTCGACCGTAGAAGTCAAAAGCGACATCGTGTATTAAATCAGCGTGATCGGCGTCGATGGTTCTAGCCATTCCGTACAGTGAACCGCACCGGTTCCGATAGTTACCTGTAATAAAAAATGCTACAGCTATTCGAGAAATCGATAGGCACAACGTTCGTTTCTACATGGTGTTTAAGCTCCTAAATTTTGGAAATATACATAGTTTTTAATATTATATCGTCGACGTTTTGTATAAATACTATTAATGTGCTATATTTGCCAAAGACGTGGTGTACTCACTGGTCACTGTGCACAAAAGTAGCCCTCCAACGCTTTCTATAGGACACAACATAATGCCAAATTATTCAAGCAGCCGAAGTATAAAAAGAAAAGTAAATAATAAGCTGGCTCTCAGAGTAGAACTAATGAAAGTGACAAATATATAGCAGAAATTGCCTAGGCATTTTTATCAACAGTCTGTCGTTTTTTATAATAATATGCGGTGACCAATCTAGTTGATTGGTTAACGTTGATTGATAGGTTAACGCAAAACAAAATACACCCCCCAACTTCTCGATATATGGGTCTTCGGATGATCTGTCAACTGTTTCTGAACAAACCCCAGCTATCGGCTGTCATGGCACAGGCTTTGCATACCTTCTGTTGCTTTTTAGTTATGACAGCAGAGACCGTCGGTCGATTCCGCGGTAAGGGGCAAAGCCTGGGTAACAAAGAAAAAGGGTATGCTTTTCGTATTCTAAAGCCAACCGTTGTACGCTGCTATCAAATGGAACAATAACAAAAAAAAAAAAAAAAAGGTTTGTTTATATCGACACCTAGTTTGTATTTACGATTTAATGATAACTGTGATATGTAGAGAGACGGTTGCTGCAAACTCACTTAGCGTTCACCAACAATAAAGAATTAAAACAAAAATGTTCATCGGATTATTGCAAATACAGCCGCCTCTAGTACACCACTGATGTTTGCAGACCGAAAATTGCGAGTGGCTGAAATCAAATATATATGCTCGTATACAACGGGGTAGCAGACGATGTCTTCGCGCCTTTCACCAAAATGCTCGCTTAGTGCTTATGAGCACTTGAGAACTATAGTTTGTATCTGATGAGTACACGCATATCGGAAGTATGCAGTCACGCTATGCAAATTCGCAAATCAACAACATTGCTATTACTTGATGTTATCAGTTTTATGAAATTTAGATCTTGTGTTTCAGACGCTCTTAGGTTAACATTGGATACATCTATGGAAAATAAATAAACGAACCGACTAATATTGAAATGAATATGAAAATAGTAATATACATGCCATAGCACTGTATATACGGTACACGTCAGTCGCTTAAATAAGATACATTTTGCGCGCGATTTTTGCATTTTTAGGACACAACTATAAGTTTTGCGATGAAGTTCGTTTAAAAAATATATATATTTTTTTATAATAACTCTATGTCAATCGGTTCCGAATGTTGGTGGTCATAATCATTTTATTTGTTGTCTAGATTTCCCAGACGCATATCAATTATCGGTGCAAGATTTTGCTGAGACAGGCAAATGCTCGTGCGCTACAGTATGTTCTGCTAGACCAAGAAGACTGATTAAAAAAAAAAAGGCTTTCACACTTTATAATGCTGTTTAGGAGGTTTTATTCTAACCGGAACCGTCAGCTAAGCCGCCTGCCCTGCATATTCAATCCTTTAGTTTTTATACGTGTATGAAATATTCTTCGCGTTAATCCTAAATTATGCCACTTCACAGAGGCAAGGTGACTTATACTTTCATGTCTTTTTTCTTGTCCTCCTCGACTATAGATAGTATTGTATCAGAGCATGTTTATATCGGGTTTTTGTTGATGCGCGCTGATATCGTCTGCTTCGTCTGCGAAGAATGTCGCCATCTACTACCCAAATAGCGTGATATTGCCTGCCTCATATATTGTTCACTGAACGTGTGATCAACACACGCTACAGCCAGTGTTTGAACACCAGTTGAGCGGTATTGTTCTGTATCGACCCGTATTGACATTGAATGAACGTAACAAACGATCGGGCGACTCAGCTCATTAGTGTTGGTCAACGCCGCAGACAGGTGTTCAATTAACCTGGAAACACGGTATTTCATTTCTGCGAGATGTACATACTTTTAGCACTTACGAAAAGACTAGGAGAACTATACATTTGATGCAGGATAATTTTCTCCCGAGTATAATCTATTTGTGATAGACGTTGGTGAGTCAGCGTATAGTTTTCAGCTGCGTTCCGACATTTTGTGTGAAGTGCTCCTGTAAGTTACTCCGTCGAGAGCTAAGTGAGCTAGATGGCCGAAACCGTAGAAATAGCTGATCGTTTGCTAAGTAGTGACTGCGTGCTGTTCATTGCTAAGGCTGCTCATACGCTATAGCTATCCATCTGTCTCTTTTATCTATCGAGCAATGGATTCTTACCAGCTCTCTTTTTCTTTGTACTGTCTCTTGTGTGTTTACCATTAGTGGCAACGTGTAGTGTCTCTATGCCAGCGTGTGTCAACATTGCAGAATACTTCGAAAAGGCAATACTGTCAGTTTGAAAGCTCCTCCTTCTCGTGATATCAAATAATTCTACTCAATGAAGTTTAGGTGTTAGATTTAGCAAAAGTCGAGGCCTCTCGACTTGCATACAAAAAAACCGTTTCTGTATCAGTGTGTTTTCATCGAAGTAATTATTTGCACTAGATGAAAAAAATCGCGATTGTGGGACACCAAAGCCGTATCATGTACATCGTATGTCGTCATTCTAGTGGACCACCGTAAAGTCCCATAAGCACATTGACTTTTTTTTAATATAATTTCGATTTTGAAGTGCGTATCATCGTATTGGCACACACGATAAGGAAACGTTTAGTTTTATGGCATTACTGTCCCGTATGATAAATAGGCATACAACGGCATTGCGTATTTGATACGATAAAGAATTGAGTGGGAATAACATTAGGGGCGAAGTTTATCCTTTTTCGTCCATATATGTATTGGTATTCGGTACCTGTCGTTTTTGGACGCGCTAATCCAGAATCATACAATTCGTAGGATGGCAGCAAAGTAGAGAAGCAGAAAGTCATCGCGCTACCCAGGTGGACATCTAGCCGAGGCATAATCATACTTCACCTCGATATATTGTGATATGTAAGGCGCGATCAGCCTGTTATCTAGTTGGAAGCAGGTGAGTTCGTCCCATTATGATTTGATGGACGGACGAATGGACATACAGCGAACAGAAACGTACATACGACAATTTCGTGCCATGAAAGAGTTTGCCTCCGGCGATTTCATCGTAACAGAACAGTGAGTGCACGATTACTAATAGTTCAGAGTGTATAAACTGTTTGTTGTCAGCAGGTGTCGTCAAGCTCGTTTATCATCAGACAACTAAACCTTTTGAGGAAACTGGTGAATACAGTATCAGAGTGGACTACTTGGTTAGTGGTAAAGCAAAGCGGGTTTTTAATTAGCGACTGGGTACAGAAGCATGACATCCGGCGTAGGGATGGTTCGCGGAGGCCCCATTATGGCCGTGTCGAGCAGTCGGCCTGTGCCGATGAAGCTTTTCGCCGATTCCGTTGATCGCACCACACCTTCGTGTATTCCAAGGTTCTGTATAATATACGCATAGAATATTAGGTAATCATATATAAATGATGAGAATGTCGGCCAAATACTTGGATAATACCATAGACTGATAGTCATACATAATATATGCCATAAGAGTAAAGGTTTCTATTAGAAAAGCACATAATTGGGGCCTATGTGAAGCAATTTCACAGCGCATATGAGCACGCGCGCTATGCCACTGAATACGGACAAAGGTGCTTTGGATTTAAAAGATTCCTATACAACATGTGTTTAGTAATAAATTGGGATCTTGCAATAGATATCGAACTGTTCTGCAGATTCACTATTCAACACATGTTTTTTCCTTCCAGAATGCTAACATTAAAAAAAATGATATAAAATATGTCATAAACACAATTCTATTTCTAATGAGCAAACTTTACCCCGGAATTGTTAAACGTATTTGTAGGATTGCATTTCTGTCATGTCTAGATACTTCGAATTTATATGGCAATTACTAGACGCAGGGTTTGAGGCAGTGAACACTGAAGAACCTTTGACGGTGAACCTTCAAAGCAAACGTCGAATACGGTAGCAGAAAAGGCGACCATTAATTTAAACTACATTAAAATTGATGCTCTCTGCTTGTCTTTCTGTTAGAACAGTAAGAGTGAATGACGAGATAATTGAATATTTTACGATATTTTTTCTACTGCTACCAACGGCCAAAAATAACGGCAAGAAGTGTCGTTAGTCCGTAGGTTGTCAGCTTGTTGGTCGCCCTTGATGCTATCGTTTCGAGTCTTGTAGGGGGGGGGGGGGGGGGGAGTGCTCCGTTAATTTTAACCGGATAACAATGGTCTGCGGCTAAACGTGTTATTTTACCGTTGCATAAAAAACTTGATGGTTAAGAGTGCTTCTCCATTTCTAATAACGCGTGCCAACGGGTAGAAAGTCAATAATTCGCACTCCAAAAAAAAACTTACATAATAGTAATAGAAGCTTCTACGTCTCGTCATCTATGGTTTCTCCTAGGAATAGCATATGAATAACATAGTCCTATTAGTAAGGCGTTCTTCAAGATGACGTGAAATGACAATTTAGGTAATGTCGAATTGCAATTTAGCTCCTGAGTACACTTCCCCCCCTTTTGTTGGCCTGCTTTTTGCCCCTAAATAACTAACCACTTTTATGCCCCCTTTAAGACCATCTGTGCGCTTAAGCAGCAAAAGCAAACTACTTCCAATCAACACTGCCAGTATTTCCACATGTTCCACACTTTCCACAACACTGCCACATGTTTCCTGTTAATTACGCATGAAGATTCGGCAATATACGTAGAGAGGCGAGACGTAACAAACTTATAATGGGGAACAAGAAACATATGCACTTGTTGCAAACACAAGTTCCCGAAGAGGAAAAAATTTTGAAATCCAAACAGTTCGGACTCAAACCATGTAGTAAAACTTCAAGAAGTGTACTTTGATCGGGGTGAAATATCAAAAACGGGGAGCTGAGTACAATGTTCTTTATCGATAACGATAGGACACGAAACTACTCCAGTTGCCTGTGTTATTGTTGACGTGTCGTGCTGTGCAACTAGATCCAGGTCGAAGGCAACATGTTGAAGTGGCGTAAGCGTTTTCGCAAAACTTCTGTCAACCGCGGTCTTGTAAGCGGTCGCTGACGGTGGTCGCGGTGGGGACGGCCGCGCAGGTAGTCCTGTAGGTTGTACGTACCGTATTATTTGCCGCATATCCATATTTTAAGCGATTTTCTAGAGATTGTTTGTTAATTAGTCAGCTTTCATAAGCATAATGCGCCTTCTTTCTCCTCCCGCCCGTGCCTCACTCTCTCCGCGTCAGTAAATATGCTTCTAAATTGATTAAGTAGGAGTGTTTAGTTTACTCGTTCCTTTTTCTGACTCTCGACTTTGAAGCTAATATGACCAGCGGTGGCCACGACGACGGTAGTAATGATTCACTCGGAGAATAAACACGAATTCGTTGTTCTCGGATTTCCTTGAATTATCCTGGATTTGTTGCCGTGTCCAAGAATACTAATAGCTTACTAAAAAAAGTAAACAAAAACTAGTAATAAAAAGAAGTAGTTGGTGGCTAGCAGGAATCTGCTAAATACTACTTATTGTTTTAGCGGGTAGTGAACGAGGCACTGGTGCGTTGCACAGACCATAGAAATTACGCGATCCACCCGGGGGATAGCAACACAGCAGTGAAGAATTGAATAGATCATGAGAAACCGCGACTTATCGGCTGCGACGGTAATGAAGATTCGGAGAACGTATGTATGAAGAAAAGAACTGTTGAACGGGGAATAGCTAAGAAGCGTTTGCCATGTACATGTATAGTGAAATAGGGTAGAGTACCTTAGGTGCCATGGCAGAGTTGGAAGGATGGTGGAAATAACGAAGAATCGGCGAAGGGCTGGAACAATATTGTCCTTTGTTTTTCTCATATCCTCGAAGAAAATATCTTCTTAGAGGTTCCGAGGGAAAATAAGAGACACTATGCGATGCAATGTTTTCCTACAAAGAGCGTGCAACACGGAAGGCTTTCACAGTGTGTATTCTGGGAAGCCATATACCAATCGGGAAGGCTCGACGAGCCCAGTTTGGCATCGTCCAACCGCAAGCATAAACGATGCCGCAGTATTAGATGCCACAAGTAACCAACGTACATGTAATCCTCGGATTCAGTGTTATGAAATGTCTTGCATAGTCCTCTACCGATTTAGATGTTGAATGCAGCGTCTTATTGAGTCATGTGTTGTAACATCGTTGGTTATAGGGAACGACGAATATTTTTTTCATATTATTAGGAGTACAGCCAGGTAGCAGCAAACTGATGACGACTGAAGCAAATGCCTACAACGTTTAAAATTTCCACAGACAATGAGACAGCGCGCCGAAATCGCAAGAATTCAGTAGACAGAATGTACCTGACATTACGACCACTGCAGACGCGTATTGTCCTTTTTGAAGAATTGACGGTAGCGTTTTTTCGTTGACTAGTTTTAGAGTAGATCGGACTGTAGATATACGCTAAAAACAACTGTACGGGACGAGATGGCAAGGTTTCTTGTACCAGGATTCGCGCGGATTTAAAGGGGACCACTGAGAGCGAGGGCGTGAGTAGAGAAGGAGTAAAGGAAGGCTGATTAACATAGTATAATACCGAGGACCCCGCAGCTTCGAGGCTGAGTGGAACATGTAAATCGATTTTTTTTCGAGGTATTATTTTGGAAAATCTTGAACAAAAGGTACTGAAAAATACGCAAAAAAAATAGTGAAAATTCGGAATCTATTGATAGTCAAAGTTAACGTTTTGTGGACGGTTTTTTTATCCGTAACATGAATCGGTTTTTACGCAGTATACTAGAATAAGCCAAAATAAAATAGAAATAAACAGAAAAAGCCACGTATTTACACTTGTTGGGTTATATATATCAGCAAGCTATGATATATAATTATATATCATATGTAATCATAGCTTACCGATAACAAAAGTGTATGCTTTGTTCCTTATATATTATAGAGCTGTATAAGAGTACTGTATACTATTCATAATGATGAACTTAAGATATTATAATAAACAGCGTGCACCAGGCCACTTCGAACATACGATACAAATATTAAATTATATACGTCTAATGTACGACCTGAGAAAAGCAAACCAAATATCAAAGATATCGAATTTTCATGTAATACTTTACGCTCTACCTCATCAAACTGGCGGTTATCCATCAACAAAAACGCTTTTTTTCTAACTATACTGACTTATATCGTTTAATAAATCGTGACATTACACTCAAGCTTTCCGATTTTTTTTTTACCACAGATAATTATTTTTACTCGCAATCGAAGTATGTGTCGTTTTTATATATCATGTTTCCGCTTTTTTTTTATTTCTTTCACTGCTGTAGAAATTAAGCGCCCCGACACTTTTGATGTCTCAAAAGACAATTTCTGCATCGTGTTTAGATCTGAGCAATTTTGCTATTGAGAAGTTCTCGAATTAAAAAATAAATGACTGTATACAAGTAACGTCTACAATGATTGTATACAAGCAAGAACGGCATAGGGCTTCTAATTGTAACTCTTGTATTTTACCTAGCATAATTCTTACGGTGAGAGGTTGAGCGCTGCCGTGCAATACAAGTTGTTTACCTTCATTCATAATTCTTGCGTAGTGTTTTCATCATCTCCTCTAAATATTACAAGTATAGTTTAGCAGTAATCAATGAACTAGGCACATTGAATATAGCAGATAGCACCTGCATTGGACCACCAAATAGATATCATGAGCTTTGACATATATACATTCAGTTTAAGGTGATGTTCTGTCGATTCGGTTACATCCATTGATGTGACCACCTGCGATCATTGTACAGTGTCCATATTTTATCACAAGTCATAATTCGTTCAATAATGGGTTACAGTTGCAACGAAGAGAAGCAGACGTGTCTACGTCTTTCGTCCTCATTCAAGTCATGCGGGTACCTACTTGTCCATTTTTTTTATATTGTTAATTTAACCCAAGTGAACAAGTTTGGCACTTTTAGATGTGCACGTCAAATTTAGCTACTAATATCTGGGCACCTCCAAATGGGTCGGTTCCAGTTCATGTCGTGGAAGGTCATTTAAATTCAGGGTCGCGATTCTCACACTTGAACGTAGCGTTTACCATATTCTTCGATACAACACGATATGCTCAAATATATAAAACGTATTGTAGGCTATTGTACTTTATAGTCATATTGTACCTGTAACTTATGCTTATTATCCTTGCAGTTTTAGACACTATTACGTATAGGATGTCATTGTTTGATACAGCTCAAGTATGGTACAAGACGTTACGTCAGTAAAACAACGGTGCAGTTAAGCTGTATGACTGCACAAAAATATTATCACAGTTTGTTTCAACAATCATAGCTCACGTCTACCCAAAAAAATTAATACATTCAAAAGTATTCGAAAAACCCTGAATCACTGAGTTCAGTCGATATACAGGAGTACGGTG